CTATAGTATTGGACATTGTTATAGTTTGACAAAAATTGATTTGGCCATATGACTTTAAATATTATAAAAATTCTAAATTCTTAGATCTTAGAAGTGTATGAAAAGTTGTTAATTCTAATATTAAAAATAATTTATTGGCATCTTATGGCATAATATAATAAATGAATTATTATTACTAATACAAATATTAGACCATAATCAAGTACTGCATAGTAGTAGATTAAACGATCACAAACATTTGCATAAGATTATCAAAACATTCCTTCATCTCATACTATTTTTGAATGTGTGTTGAAGCAATCATCTAGCATTATGGATTTTTAAAATTGCATATGTATTTACAAATAGTGGCAATTATTTGGATATAAAAGATATGAATATTAAAGAAAGAAAATTCAATATAGTCTTAAGTAACTCAAAAAGATTAGAAAGTCATTCAAAGATGATATTATATTGAATTAGTATAACTATTGCTAAAGATAAGAAGACAAAAAAGTCTTAAAACAAGACTAAAGACTAAAATAAGTTGATAAGAGTGAAAAAGACTTCACTCTTGCCTTTATATATACTAACTAACTAGGAGTTATGTAGCAATAGTCTATAAGACTTCCAACTTATGTTAACTTTACTAGACACATGTCTTAACTTACAAGACAAGTTTTGTATATGTATGCCATATAGTCTGCTTATTTTACAAGCTACCAACATGTATGGCACATGGTTAACTTGTTGACAAAGTTTCTAACCTACTAATCAATTATACATAAGTATAAAGTCAAAATTTCATCTATAAAGCTTCTAAAAAGTTTTTATAAAAGATATTATGAAATTAATCTATATTTACGTACTTCTACCTAATCATATAGGTAATTATTAGAATATATATATATATATATATATATATATATATATAACATTGGAATTCCATATATACATGCAATTAGTGTTGTATTATTTATGTGGCAATCTACTACCATTATATTGCTTACTTTTATAGTACTCAAGCTTAACAAGTAATATTTGTAATAGCTATCATCCTAATATCATCCATCAAGTATTAAACAAAAGCAAGAAACAACAAAATTACTTTTTCTCCAATTCTACCACCTATCATATGATATCCATCTGATCGCTCAAAAAAAATATTGTATTTATATAGAAGATATAGAAATAACTAAAAGAGTATTTAAATGTAATTAATGTAAGAATATAGGACATAATTACTTAACTTATAAAGAATCAATTTGGTTTTAGTGCTAATGTGCCACTTAATGTGATGTTTAATTCCATTTTCAATAGCTGTATTTTAAATAAAATTATAAAGATATTTTAAGTTAAATAAAAAAAATATATGTATATATTAATTATCAAATAAAATATTATTAAAATTTAAATTTATAACAAAGGACATATGATATTTTATTGAATACAATAAAAACTTGATTGTGTACTACCATATTCATTAATTTTTATGAGGTATAGAAAAAAAAACTTTATAATATAATTATTTGATAAGTTGACTATATAAAATTTTATTTTATTTTATTTTATTTTATATTAAAATTAAAATAGATTTTTAAATTTAAAAGCTTTAATTTATAGTCTAAAATAATGAAGATTGTAAATATAATTGATTATATTTTTATAAAATAATCATACTATACATATATATGCTTTTATGTACAATTATTAAAATTTGTATCAAATTATGGTCAAAGAGATGCTATAGTATTAATGGATTTAATTGCAAAGTTTAAAAGAAAAAAATGAATTAAATTTTAATTCTAAATTACGGTAATAAAAGATAAAAGATCTATTCATAGAATAAGGATTGCAAAAAATATTAGAAAAATTGATATTTGATTGAGTCTTCTGAATAATTTATTATACAATATTATGAATAAAAGTTTAACATCAAAACTATAGATAAGATTAATAAAAATTTAAATAAAATATTTATTAATAAATATAAATATCAAAAATATTAATTACATATATTATGTATAGAAGGAATTAGCTATACATTTTAGCTCCAATAACTTTAACAATGTCTATTATAGAATGACAAGTATAATTGTCAAATTAAAAAAAACTTTATGATAGTCTTATTATCTATTTTTTAATTGAGTCATTTTAAATAATTAATATGGGAGTTTAAGAATATATATAATTTATATAAATACAATCTATGAAGCATGTATGCTTAAAGAAGGTGCTAATAATAATTGAAGTCAATTATGTATTAAAGAATCACCCTCTTAGAATAAAGATGCTTATTTCTTTATAGAAGTTTTAATCCCATTTCATTAAATAGCCAATTTATAAGCTATTTTAACAACACACTTTAAGATCAATTCGAAACTAAACTCCATTTCAATCTAAATAAATGAAAGGATTTGATACAAACTAAAGGTCATTAAATCTATTTTTAATATTCTTAATACAAATATTGATCCACTTACAAGTCAAAATATAAGTTTAGGGCATAACATCCTCATTGTTTAGTTTAATATAGTTGTTCATCAGCCTTCATAATAATGATATAAAACAATATAAAAAATATAAATTTTCTTTGTTGCCTCTATAAAAATTAGAAAGGAAATTTCTATCACTACTAGCAAGCTAATCTAGTTTAATAAGACAACTACAAAAGAATCCACTAACTACAAGATAAAGAGGTCTCAAAGACATGCCAATATATGTACACGACATATAAGAACATTAACATACAACAAATATATAAAGAGTGCATAAGATATCTTCCGTATTTAGATAAATCAAGCATTCAATTGACATCTTGTTTGTAATCAAAGTATCTTAAGTAAGAAGGTCATACTTAAAATTAATACCAAGAGCTACATAAGTAATTAAATTTTCTACTACAAATAATGATAAGATTACAAGTGGCTTAATAAATGCATCTTCTCTTGGTGATTAAGTTCTTTAAAATCAAAATGTAACTTTGATTAGTAATAAGTAGAAAAAAATATTAATACAACATAAAACATAAAAATATAAATCTCTAGTTTGTCTCTATATTCTTCTATAAGAAGGCACAAAAAAGGTTTGTCCTTACTATTATTAAGATCATTCTACCCATAACATAGTTGTTGTAATATTAGCCTAGAGTTTGGTGTGAAGATCTACATTGATGTGTTTTAATACTCCTCAGAGGAATTTAATCTAAGCTAAAAAATCTATCATTTAGCACATTTATTCAAAAAGAAATACTAAGGTGTTTATTTTCATATGTGCATGTCTTTGAAGATTGTCAAAAAGTAGAATGCAATAAATTGAATACAATCCCATCTTGAATCAATACTACTATTGATTTTGTTTGAACTAGATGTGTGCTACAAGCATGTGTTGTATTTTGTTCAATAAATTCAATTTAAGCTTAAAATCAGATTTAGAATATTGTAATTTTAATTGATGTATTTGCTTGATTCACAATTAGATGATGCATGTCTTAATGCAATGACTACAGATTGCAATTAGTATTAAATATGTAGAGAACTTTTGTAAAACTCCAAACAAGGTGAATATGAAGGCCTCCTCACACCACTTTCTCCCAAATGGGTGGTAATGGGTTCTAAACAATGAAGTCATAATCTTGCAACTTTATTCAAAGTTTAGGAATCAAAAGAATATATGGCAATACAAAGAAAGATGGCTAAATTGTTCATGACGCTCATGAAATTTTGCAAGTAAAAGAATATATAGCTTTAAACAAGGAAAATGAGTTTTTTACAACAATTGCTATCTTCTTAATAAGTAGCAAACTTGTGAGATATTATATAGAAAAATAGGATTGTAAAAAAATCATCAACTGGAGCCAATAGGATCAAATTATACAAAAAAGGGATTGAATTTAGAAATTATAAGAGTATATAGATGAAACAAGACCAGACTATCTCAAAAACCCAAGATCTTTCTAATTCACAACAACATAAAGCCTCATCACAAAATAAGACAAAACAGATTAGAACAAACTAAATGGAACTAAACAAAATAGGACATGAAAGACAAAACTGAGCAAATGGAAAGAAAACACAACAGAACTAAACAGAAAGATGCAAATCCAAATTTTACTAATAAAAAGGATTCAAAGCCATAGCTAACCAGATGCTCCAAAAGGCCCTTGCCAGTCCTATTTATACCTTATTCTACCACCTTGGACTTTCTATAATGTTCATAGATGGTGGATCCTACCTAGATAACCACCTTAAATTCTTTTTCTAAAAGATTCTATGGTGGGCTCTACCTAGATAACTACCTTAAAACCTTTTTAGAAGGTTCAATGATAGGCCCCATTTAAATAACTGCCCTAAATTCTTTCTAGAATGTTTCACAATGGGTCCTACCTAATCCACTAACCTAACCCCAATTCTAGAAACTTTGATGGTTTTAACTATCTATACAATTGTCTTATCTATACTATGTTATAATAGAAGTATATAATGTTGCTGATGTGTGAGTTGAATAAGAAAATTAGTAGCACTTGAAGTTTTGATGGAGGAATATGATGCCAACAATGGAGGGATGTAGGACCTATTTCCATAAGTACCACACTACATAATTTGTGGTATGTGGATTGGACCTCGAAATGGGTTAAAACATGAGTATTTTGATAAGCTATGAAGTCTTGGAGTATTTTTCAAATTTTGAGAAAACTCAAGGGCACATGTATAATTATCAAGAATATAGAGATTTATTATGTTTGTTGTTAATAGAGCATGTTTGTATGAGATTCTTAGTTACATTGTTCACATGGTCCATTACTTTATAAGTCAATAACTTGCTGACACACATCACTAGCAAAGTAAGGCCCTATTGCTAGCATACATGAATATTCATGTTTCTTTAACTGAATAGTGCACATTTTGAGTTAACACACAAGCACCAAGTCTGATGAGATTCTCTTCTGCAGTGGACAACTTATTCCACTTTTTGAACTCATGGAATACCAAGGATAAAGAATTAATAGCAGTTATGCTTTAGCATCCATGGAACTCCACATGCAAGTGTGCCACAGATTTCCAGAGAGAGTTTCAGGAGACTGGCAGTGCCATGCCATGCCTTGCTGTTGGTGCCACAATCCTAGTCTGTCTTGTTCACAAGCCTGAGCGGCCACATTTTGAGTTCATTTCATGGACTTACTCATGCAAGTTTGATGTGATTTTTTTTTTTTTTTTTTTTTTTTTTTTTTTTTCCAGTGGGGTTCCAGAGAATGTGGGCGCAAATCCAGAGAAAATTGCAGATGGAGGGATCCATGAGTAATAGTTGCTCATTACCCCTTGTCAGAAGCATTTAGGAGTTGGAGTCTTCCGCATGAATCCCTCGCAAAGCTCAGAAACATTGCTCAGTGAGTACCTTGTGATCGTGTTTTGCTTATTTGAAGAGAGTCCTGATTTCGCCTGTGGTGTGTTGTATGATGTTGTGCTTGCATTGTGAGTTGAGTTGCTCGCAAATGAGCAATCGGTTTCGATGGTTTTGAACAACTTGGAATGCTTTGGGACTGATCCTACTTTGCGACAGGAGAATGCACATTGTTTGAAAAGGATTGTGATTCTTTCTATGGACGATACGTGATACGTGTTATTTGGGTTGATCATCTGTGGTGTTGTTTCAGCATTGGTTGCGCCTTTTGGACAGATTCATAAGGATGATATATTAGGGTTTGTTTTGGGGGGGGGTCCTCAACACGAGCTAGGTTTCTGTATTGAACCGCTGCAGATCATCTGCGCAGAATGCAGATGTTAGTGGTGGTCAGGATCGCACAGTAATGCGCTCCTTGACTGGTTTGAAATCATTCTGGAGATTTCAGCTCCCCGGTTTGATAGTCCTCTTACTTAGAATGTGCTAAATAATCTCCTGAACTAGTGGAATGATGATTTATATGCTATGCTGCGCAACTTCAATCCTGTTGTGCTCGCGTATGCTTTCTATTGGATCTTCGTATATTTTAAAGATTCTGCTTTAGTTATATTCCATGAATATAGTTTGAGCCGATTTAGGTCTCTCCAGGGAACCTTGCAGCCAGAGTTGAAGCGTTTGAATCTCTGAAGTAGTGAAGTTTGGCACTTATTAGGGTTCCTCACGTTGTTCAGGATTTGGGTTAAGTCTCTTAGAGACGATGGAGGCTAAGCCTCATTTGGTATTGCTGGTTTCCCTACTCGTAGTTTCCGTTCATTTGGTATCATGCGCCCGGAATTTTGTCGTTGTATGGGATGCCGACGACATCCATAAAGAGAATCGTGATACTGGATCCAATGGAGAGGTCATTACGTTGGATGACAAGGATGAGAAGAAGGGACCATTCGGATTCATGGATCCTCAGGGACCGATTCTTGAGTGGGATGAATTCGGAGACACCGAAGAACCAATGGAGTATGTGGTCGATCCGGGCTCCTGGAGTCACGTTCTTGAGCATGAGAACAGGGGTGAACATCCTAATGAGGTCAGCACCCACAGTTTCATAGATTGATTTATAAAACGTGCTATTACATAATATAGTTGAAGGGTAGCCCATCATGCTAAACCTCTCATCGCAGAAATGTTTATATGGAAATCGATTGTCTTTTGTTCTGAACTTTTAGTAAATTATTACATTTTCTACAAAGCAATTGGCAACCTCTGAATAGGGTTGTGGTGCCGTGTAGAATAGCGGGTTTGACGCGTCATTTATTATGAAATCAGTATGCAGCTGCTGTTCGAAAGATGGTGGAGGGTTTGAGTAATGGAGAGTTGAGCGTGCTGAATGAAGCTATCAGGGGCTTGCAATCAGTCGCCGAAAATGGAAATGTGCATGCAGAATCTACACTTGCTTTCCTGTACGCGTCTGGTTCCGGTGTACAGCAGAGTGATGCGAAAGCTTTTCTGTATCATCATTTTGCAGCACATGGAGGGAACTTGCAGTCGAAAATGGCTCTAGCCTACAGCTATTCCAGACAGCAGGTACCCGGTTTGAGTTGTGTAACTATAGTATGCCATGTTTTAATCTCCAATTGTAGAATACAGTTCTTTAAATGTTGCATTGCTACCATCGCAACCTTTTAATGATCACTGAATTTTCACAATGTCCAGAATAATGGATTCCTTTGATGTTCGCGTAAGTCTTTTTATAATTGGTCGGAGTGCCCTGACTGCAGAAGTGTCCTGCTGTAGATGTACGAGGAGGCGGTGGTATTGTATTCTGAGTTGGCCGCGGTTGCTATGGCAAGTTTCATCAGCTCCAAAGATACCCCTCTTACGGAGCCCGTGCGCTTAAATGAAGGATTTGAAGAAAGCCGAGAATCTTTGAAAAAGTTCCGTGGAGAAGATGATGATGATTTTCAATTTCTAGAGTATCAAGTATGTGTCCAACCGCATGAGCTCAATTGGATAAGTTTTTTCCTGGAAATCATCGTGTAGAAGATTTAATCCGGTTTAAATAATTCCAGTTTAGGCTGGTTGTTAATTACTGAGCGAACTTATACGTGATCTTTTTAGAATCCGATATAGCACATTCCACGAAAGATGCAAGTAAGTTTCACTTGTTGTTGCAGGCGGTGGTATCAGGTGTGATTTTGTGATGGTTTTCACCGCCCTCGTATGTTTCTTTATGTCACACAATATTACTGAAGATGTATGTTGGTTTGAACTATGATTTCAGGCTCACAAAGGATATCCAGAGGCCATGTATAGATTGGGAGTGTTTTACTACTTTGGGCTGCGCGGGGTACGTCGAGATCATGGCAAGGCTCTGACGTGGCTTTTGAAGGCTGTGGATAAGTCTGATTCTCGTTCTATGGATCTCCTTGGGGAGATTTATGCTCGAGGATATGGTGTGGAGCGCAATTATTCCCAAGCTTACGAGTGGTTCCTGCAAGCTGCCAGCCAAAATCATTATTCGGCCTTTAATGGCATCGGCTATCTGTATGTGAAGGGACGAGGTGTTGCTGAAGGCAAGAATCTTACAAAGGTAACAACAAGGGCTTATGCTTGTTTCTAGTGTGTACAATACAGTTCAGCTTGAAGTGTAATTGAATCAACTTACTAGATGCTTATGTACAGCCCACATTAATCTGGACTTGCAGTATAAATGAGAAAACTGATGGATGAAGCTCATTAGCAGACGTTGGTGTGTTTCTTTTGAACCTGTGATTGAATGAGCAGGCCAAAGAATACTTCAGAAAAGCTGCAGAAGCTGGTGATTCACATGGCCATTACAACATGGGCATTCTTTATCTTAAAGGATTGGGTGTGAAGAAAGACCTTAAGGTGGCCTGTAAGCACTTCATGACTGCGGCTAATAAGGGACATCCAAAGGCATTCTACCAGCTCGCCAAAATGCAGCAGAGAGGGATTCCAGGGTTGAAGAGAGATCCGGCAACAGTTAAGCGTATAATTTTTTCATCTATAATGAGTGTTGGTCTGATAGATATTTTGTTTCAAATCATTAAACTATATGTAGTATCCTGTCATGAAATTAAGCCCATTGACTGATTGTGTAACTTGTCGTACGAACAATCTGCTGAATCATGTAGGCGGCGGCGCTCTTCAAAATTGTTGCAGAACGAGGTCCATGGGGTTCATTAATGAAGTGGGCACTTGAGTGCTATTTGAAGGGACAAACGGCAAAAGCTCTCCTTCTCTATTCACGAGCGGCGGAACTTGGCTATGAAGTTGGTCAAAGCAATGCAGCATGGATCTTGGAGAAGTATCACAATGAAGGAATATGTCTGGGTCAATCTGGAGTTTGTACCGACGCTGAGCGGCACCGGCGAGCACACATCTTGTGGTCCTACTCCTCAGAGCAAGGGAATGAGCATGCAGCATTACTAATTGGCGATGCATACTACTATGGCAGGGTGAGTTTGGGATTCGGAATACATAACTTTTTACTCAATTTAATTCAGAAAACGTTATGATTGTTGTTTTAATCGGCCTTCTCACAATTGGTGCACGTGCAGGGGGCTGAAAAAAATTTAGACCGGGCTGCAGAGGCATATAGGAAAGCACAGTTACAGCAGAACTCGCAAGCGATGTTCAATTTGGGCTATATGTATGAGCATGGTTTGGGTCTTCCGAAAGATTTTCACCTTGCGAAGCGCTACTATGATCAAGCTCTGGATACTGAACCTGCCGCTATGCTTCCTGTTACGTTCGCATTGATAGGTCTATACTTGCGGCAAAAATATGCTGGTAGTTTTATTGTAAGTTTTTGGATCACCAGTGATATGATACATGTAAGTTTTGCGGATTTAGATATGTCGACAGTCAACTTCTAGTCAAGAGGTTAGACAATGCTGTCATTAGTTAGTGTAATCCTTGCAATTCCTGTGTGAAGAGTTAGGATCTTCTGTATTGGGTAGTCTTCTCTCCATTTAGTTGGTTACAACTCTTGTTTCTGATGGTTTGAACTCTTGCATGAACATAATTCTTTTAACGTCTTGTGCAGGGGAGGTGGGCTGATGAAATTCTAAAAGCCAAACTTGATTTTGAGGAATCGTTCAATCTTTTTCGTGTAAACTATGACAACATGACGTTGATGACGCTCTTCGCTTGTTTGCTCACGGTTTTGTATCTTCGACAGAGGCAACGCCGAATGCACTATGGCCAATATGTAGATTCCTCACCGTCCTGAGGTAATGTTTTCCTGTTAGAAATGGATCCTATTAGGATGTGGAAAGTTGGTGGTAAACAAACTTATCTAATCCCATCTGAATTTTTGAGTTCATTAGCTTGAGGTTTGTTGGAGACGGTCAATACCCGTCGTTACAACTGTACATTACATGCCTCGGCCACATTTTAGCAATAGACACATTGGGCACCTATTTCGATTCCATGCTTGATAACTTTTGAGTAGACATCAAGTGAACATGGTTATGCCGCTTGGACACGTAATGGGTAAGATTATCATCAAGTTCATACTCAATTGTTCTCATACTCAATTTTTCAATATTTTTAACATATCTGAAAGGCGCATTTTGGGTATGCTCATTATGCAAACTCAAAAATGTCAACTTCGTTCTTCCTGAACATGCTTATCATACAGAGTGTATAATCTAAGGTGTCTATCTTGTTCCCAAATTCTATCACAGTTTGCTAGGTCTGTCGGGAATGAGAAAATGAGGTTTGCAGGTGACGCTTAATGGAGTGTAATCCTCAGCATGTATTCTCGATGAACTTGGCATGATGGTATCTTATAAAGCCTTATGAAATCACTATGGTTTTAATGTGCAAATCTGTCGCATATTTAACAATTTCCCGCTATACCTGGGAATTACTGGTAACAGGAAATCTAAGCAGCTGCGGTGGCCTTGATATCCTAGTTTCTCCAAGGTCATGTCATCGGTAGGAAAGTTGGCGGCTTTGCGGGAAGTTCCCCGCCCGAAATCAAGGTTGTAGGAATCCTTCCATCCGTCAATCAACCCATATTCAGGAGTGAAACTGAGCTCCTTTTCAACCTTCTCAGCAGACGTGAAAATATGCTGCACACATCCAACACCAAATTCTATGCGTCAGTTGAGTATCGAGGGGATTTGTACAACATGGACAGCAAACACAAACATCTAGCTCTTCAGAAGGCATTCAGTGAAATGCTGTTATACCTGATCTCGGAGTGAGAAAGCCTTCTTCTTGCTGAAGTCGAAATCCTTGGGGTTGTATTGCACTGTCCGAGGCACAGGGGACCCATCAGCTATGGCACTTGCTTTAGCGATGCCGTTGAAGGTTACATTCTTGGCATCGTTGATGTTGTAAATGTGCCCGTAAGCCTTCTCGTTCCCTAGCACTGTCACGAATGCCATGGCCATGTCCTTGACATGACCTCTAATGGAAACGTATCCTCTAACTGTGCTCGTAGTACCACGAATCCCTACATAAAGTGGATCCAGCCGAAACAAATCTTCAGATGTGTGCTTGCTTGGCGGTCACTCTGAATCGCCAGATAACCTACAAGAATCCTCTGTGACTGCGTCTCAAGTTGATTTCTTAGAAGCTTCAAAATCTTCTCTCAGTATTAACCTTCAAGACGAACTTTCAGCTGCTGTACCCGAGTACCTTAAAGAGCAGCTGCCTCTCAAGAAACATCTTTCTATCTCGACGTCCACACTGACAACACTGAAATCTCAACGAGTCTTCAGTTCCTCTAAATCTGACGCCATTGAAGCTTCACCCAGTCAAAACCACTCCCATTGAACCTATGTGTATCACGACAGGGACTCAATCCCAATTTGTAAAGCAGTCTAGTGCCTAACTTCCGGTATATGTTCCAACTTCGTCAATTCAGGGGAGTTTGTCTTGCTACAGTCCAAGTACAGCACCGAGGAGTCTGGGTTTACATACAAATCGAAGCATGGAAGAGTTTTCTAGTTCATCCCGCGAGCTTCGACATGGCGAGGGATCAGACACTACGCTTAGAACTCAGGAGCATTCGTTGTTTTATCACAAGGAAGACTTTCAGAGTCCGTTCTCTAATTACGTTGAGTGAGTGCCGGAATCGCTAATACACTCTGCAGAAATGCAGGCTGGATCTATGCTGTCTGTGATGAATCTTCACCTGGCGGAGTGTTTGTATAGCAAACATTGGCAATTACGAGGAAGAGTACTACGGCTTCGTATTGTTAAATCAAAAGCAAACAACTTGGTGGACGACCCTGTGCCTTCCTTCAGGTGTATCCAACAGTCATTTGCATGAAAAGTTTTTTCTGCGTAACGCATATCCTCAAACTTGCATCATAATTGTGGTAGATTGATGGTCATTTAGATCGTGCTCACTCAGTCTACAAAGAGCATTACTAGACAGCATCTGTACACTATCTGAGGAAGGGACACATAGTTCTGATAGAAGACTCAGGCATCTTGTAGACAATCCAGTCGAATTCAGAGATACATAGGTCAATATCAAATATCAAAGCTAGTTTGAAATGGAAATGCAAGAGAATAGAGTCCAGATATCAAGAAAAAGGAACGGTACTTGGGACCTACTGTAACTTTCAGACTACCCAGTGCACACGAATTATTGGAGAACACAAATTGATGAGAACTAATAATGCAGTGTGGTCTGTCTTGTTTAGAATGGTGAGCGAAGTGCTGCTTCGATCACTCAATGACAGTTGCCAATTTCTTCAGCACTTCTTTGCAGCTAAGAGCTTTGATCATGATTGATATTTGATCATGGTTAATGAATGCAGAAGCTTGTCAATAACCCCTCAAAGTTTGGTCTAACTCTAGCGTGCGTAGGAAATTGTTTCCATGTAGGGAATGACGTCGGACCTCACCCTTACTTTGTTCGTCACTTTGGACACGGTCATAGCCACCCCTAGTTGGTGCTAGCACGAAGCATCCGTCTTTTGCTGCCTAATGATTTAAGTTTGCAGCTGTTGCAGGCCGTGGTAACAACCTAAGCATCGATAATCTCACACCGAGAACTAGACATTTCATCAAAGGGATTCACAGCTGTTCTTCTTGAGAATTAAAGAGACCTCAATGTACGAACAAAAAAGGGACCATTTGAGACATTGATGTTCCTCTCATCATAGGAAGAGACAGGACTTAGTGTCCTGTCTGGACCTTTGCTGAAATTGACCAAATCCCAGGGCTATATCATCCTTGTTCTCATGTTCTGATATTTTGATGTTCACTAGTTAACATCAATCTTCGGGAGTAGCAAACAATTCTATGGTCTGGAGGTGAATCACGTGATTATGAGTTTCAGTAAATATTTCTGCTGAATCGTGTTAAATTTCACTGATGGGGACTAGAATTGATGAGAGAAAATTCACAGCATTAATGTAGAGGTGTGCTGTTCAACCATTTCGTCGTATCTTCAATATACATTCAATACTTCAAATCTTATTCTTCTCCATGGAGTACCCCTGTATGGAATAAAACCTCCCAGCCGAACAGGCTTCCCGTCAGATGCGCTCATGAGTTTCTTACTCCAATCATTCAATAGTGTAAATAGGGAAGTCAAAACGCAGTTGTCAAGGTCACCACAGAGGTTTATAAATTGATGGGTCCCTCTGTCGAGAAGTTCTTGAAGGGCATCAAGCCTTTGATTAGAGAGGTAGTTTACTAGCTATTCGGTCGAACTCCTTTCTTCATTGATCAAGTTCATGTGAAGCAGAACCAAACACATCTAGGCAAGATAGACCTGAACTTCATATTACTCGAAACAGACCTTCCAGATTCAGATTATGAGTTCCAAATTCCAGATTCCAGAGATTCCAGATTCCAATCATTCTCTGTTGATAACAACCCTACTTACCTTGCTTGGATTCGTATGCTATGCTCTCGAAATTGGATGTTAAAATCTGTAGAAATAACCACGCACAGATATTGTAGATTCAGACATTCGAAAACTTCCTTCAACTTAGTCTGGGAAACTGCAAAGATTTTGACCAATTTTCTAACATTCTAGTCTTGGAGTATTATGAAGTTCAGAAATAAACGAGTTTGTCACCTACTTCGTTCTGTAACCGCTGACTCATCTTTCCAGAAATCATGTTGACATCCTGCATTATTCCAGAAACCTTCAGATCCTATTATTTTACTGCCATCCGTCAGTCTTGCCGACATGGCGGACTGCAGCATATGAACTTGGGAAACTCCCAATACGTTTTATAAGGAATTTGCGAGCCAATCGGCGCAGGATAAAAAAATTGTTGAACGTTAGTGTCAAGTGCTGTAACTAAAGGAATTCTTTTTCCTGGTTTCCCTCTGCACCGATTAATATGTCCGAGGTCACGTTTGCTTTGCATTTCCTTGATGGCAATGCAGTCGCGGCAAGAACAGAAAGTTGAGGAACTTGAGACTTCAATAGTCTAGACCAATTCTCTTACAGAAGTTTCATCACAGTACGATCATATCACCACTGTCCTGAAAGTCGAATATAGCTGACTCGATCCGATTCTAGAAATGTCCTCGACTTAAAATTCTTGGTACTGTGGAGAATAGTCTGGAGAAATAGGGACTAATAATCTAATAAACAGATGCAGGAAAATGGGTGGGTCCATTCACAAAAACAGATTTCTTCAAGTGAAGACACAGTCGACACGGTAGAACTAGAAGCTTATTGTGAATCAGATAACGAGCATTGGCTGGACTATTCAATTCGTCCTCCCCAGGTGAGATTCTTGTATGCATTTGGATTGTTCTGCTTTAGATCCAAAGTTGGCAGTGCTAAGATACCCCTTAATTTTGTCTGCATGCTGAATCCAAAAGAGTACCATTTGTGCAATGTCACTCTTATTTGTTGAAGTGATTTGGAGTATCACTTGTTTCTTAATATATCATAATGTGAAAAATCCGTCTAACATGATTTGTACCTTGAAACGGAACACAGATGATTCTTCCGTTGACTAGGACAAGAATATGGACTCGTACTTATTCTTTGGCAAACAAGATAAGTGCTTCAAGGAAGATGATAACTTGGATCCGCATTTTTGTGAGCAGTGTCCCATGCTTACAGGCTGCTGCAAATGCGGAAAGATTGCTGAGATTTCATCACTGAATGATTACTACTTGTTCGAATGCGTATCAGGTAAGCAGTAAGAAAACTCCGAACATCCCCCTCACGCTACGATGTAGATTAAGGAATCTAGTGCCTATGTCTCCCATTAACATAGAATGTGAACTTATTGAAGCGAAACATGGCATGCCATATTCGTTGCATCACTATCCTGATAAAAAAGCGGTTGTTTATATAATGTTGACTTAAAATGTGGAGCTACTTTTTGGTTTGAAAAAAACTGAAATTGGAAATTGATATTTATAAATAGTTAATTGAAAATAGTTCAGAAAAGTGCCCTAGAAGTAACCAACTGAATCACCACTAGTACTGACGTGAGATGTCACATTACTTCCTCAACAGGATGTAAGTAATATCACGTGGTCAGCAAAGCTCAAAGGGGTTTGTGGATTCCGAGGAAAGTTCACTCTAAAAATCCTCCTTTCATGTCGGGAAAAAGAATGCCAGAAGGGTGGTCAAAACAAAAGCGAAGAATATAGTCCTTGGTCAATAGCCTGGCCACGCA